GGTGGGCACCGGGGGGACACACAAGGGGTGGGTGGTGGGCAAGCTGTCACCGACGTGACGTGTATCCATGCACCCTGCATGGAGATGTGTATGTGCATATGTTTATGCACACACATGTATGTGTCTGTACATACGTATGTGTATATGCATGTGTATATGAATGTGTGGTGTAGATGTAGATGATATCTGCACATGCATATGTATATATAAGGGTGTGCACACACATATATGTGTAAATACATATATATGTATATATATACATATATATGATATATGTGTTGTAGATGTAGATGATATATACACATGCATATGTATATATGTATTAATATATGACATAGATGATGTAGACGTAGATGATAGCTACACATGCATATGTTTATATAAGTGTGCACACGCACATTTATATGTATATATATGTATGTATATACTATATGTATGATGTAGACGATACATACACATGCGTCTGTATATATATGTGTATAGACACACATATGTGTATATACATACATATGTAAATATATGTAAGTATATATGATATATATGATGTAGACGTAGATGATATATACACATGCATATGTATATATATGTGTATACACACATTTGTATATGCATATGTAAATATATGTTCGTATATATGATATATATGATGTAGATGTAGATGCATATATGTGTGTATACATATGAATACATATATATATGTGTATACACACACATTTATATGTGTATGTACATACATATGTATATATATGTATGTATATATGATATATGATGTAGGTGATATATACACATGCATATGTATATATATGTGTATACACACACATTTATATGTGTATGTACATACATATGTATATATATGTATGTATATATGATATATGATGTAGGTGATATATACACATGCATATGTATATATGTGTATACACACGCATTTATGTGTATATCCATACATATGTGTACATATGTTTGTATATGTGATATATATGATACAGATGTAGATGGTACATACACGCTCATATATATGTATATATGTATATATCATCTATATGACATAGATAATATATACACATGCATATGTGTGTATATATGTGTATACACACATATGTATGTGGATATACATACATATGTATGTATATGTCTGTATATATGATATATACAACGTAGATGGTATATACACATGCATGATGGAGATGCAGATGGTATATACACATTCATACGTATATATGTATGTGTGCAGGTGGGTTTGAATGTCTCCAGAGAAGGAGACTCCACCACCTCCCTGGGCAGCCTCTGCCAGGGCTCTGCCACCCTCACAGGAAAGAAGTTCCTCCTCATGTTTAGATGGAACTTCTGATGTTCAAGTTTGTGATCGTTTCCTCTTGTCCTGTCCCTGGGCACCACTGAAAAAAGCCTGGCCCCATCCTCCTGACACCCACCCTTGAAGTATTGATAGGTGTTGATCAGATCCCCCCTCAGCCTTCTCTTCTCTGGGGTCTAACAGGTAGAAGGAATTATGACGTGAAGAGCTCATGCTCACATGCAGAAGTACTGTTGGGGTTGGGGGGAGGTGGTTTCTAGCCCGGTAATTTGTTGACAGGTTTGAGTGACTTTTGAGTTCTCTGCTCGTCGTTGGTGCCCAGGAATGCTGAGTTAGCACAGGGTGTCACCATGCATCTGATACCTGTGGTACATCATCCTCGCCTCTATTGCACGGGCAGCCTGGCCCCAGAGGACCTCCCTGATCCTAATTTGTACGGCATGTGTGGCTGTTAAGCCCGTAACTAAACCCAACAAAATCCCTGTGTCATGGTGCATTTCTTTGATTTGCTGCAAAATAAATGTAGGAAAAAGCTCAGGCTGGGTGGAAGAAGCCACCAGCCCAGAGAACCCTTTCTGGGTGAGATGTTTCTGGGTACCAAGCACCAGTAACTCTCGGACACCATGTCAGGACATCCGTGCCCCTTATGAGGGTACCTGCTCTGCCTGTACCTCTGCCTCTCCCACCTAAAAATTTTTCCAATAGTGGTGCGTCACTGCTGGGGATGTGTAAGCCAAGGTGAAGACCAACCTAGAAACGCTGTGTCATCCAAACTAAATGGTCTCTGTTATTGGAACGTCAACATTCCTTTTTTTACTCCTGGCTTTTTTTTTTTTTTTTCCCCTGACAACGATCAATTTCTTACCGGCATCACGTCGTCATTGTTTTATTCTTTCCAAAATATGCCCTCTTCCTTGGTCATTCCTTTAAGAGT